ACCAGTTCCTTGGCAACGGCATGGCCTAACGGAGAGGGTTTTTTTTTCTATGCAATTCCTCAAGGAGACCGAACGGAGCCCGAAACGACACGGAGGGAACGAGGCTTGCAGGGGCCAGGTGGAAGGTGAGATGGGCCATTGTAGCTTTCTTCCTTAGCGTTTCTTGGCTCCACGTCAACAATCTTGACAAGTGTAACTGGAGAGCAGGTGGACATTCTTTGGAGAAATAGCTGAACGACCACAAAAATCTGAGGTGCTTGAAATGGAAGTGGAATAAGAAGATCGAATCGTTTTGCGTCCTTCTGGTTGTGAAGAAAGATGCAATGTTGTTTGACATCCCAAAAAGGACGAATCGGCAAGCCCAAACTTCAATCCAGGAAAGTCTGTGAATTCATCAATTCCCTAAGATGTTAATGGTACATGCATGACTTTTACACAGGTTCCTCTTGTGATCTTCGCTCATGAAGCCGAACGAAGCCGAACGAAGCCGAACGATCCTTCGGATCATTGAGACCGAGGGTCTTCACCTACGAACGGGGCGATCGGACGCGACGAGTTCCGGGGCGACCCTGGCCTTACGAACGGAGCAAGGGGCGCTACTAGGAACAAGTGCATCGCTTCTAGTAACAAGTGCCTTACTAGTAGTAACAAGAAGCTAGTAGTAACAAGTGCACTACGAACGGAGCAATGTGCGCTAAAAACCTTTGCCCCAAGAAGACCATCGCCGCGATGCCATCGCCCAACGGGCGGTTTTTGGTGGCGCCACAGGTTCCAGCGGCTCTTCTTGCTGCGTGTCATGCGCCAAGACCGCCGGGATCGCCCAGGGATCCGGAGCGCAGAGGCGCTGGGCATTTCTTGTTCCTAGTAGCGTCCTTGTTCCTACTGGCATTTCACGGGTGGTTAGCCTTTGGTTTGTTAGAGATGCCAATGGAGAGAGTTAGTGGAACCATGCGGAAGAGGAATCTGAAAGCACCTGCACACATGCACGTGTGCATGTGTGACGAAGCGGGCATGCACACCCGCATCATATGACTCTCTCAGTCCTCGGGGCATTGGGGGCGGTCCTTGTGGCGCCAGTACTGTGCCTTTGAGGTATTGGCGCGGCCCTTTCCCAGTTTGTGATCGACAACCTGGGCCAGGCAGCGAGACGTCTGTCGACGTTTGGCAGGGTGGGTGTGCTTCTTTTTTTTGGAAGGCGCTCGGTTCTGAACAAGTGGATCAGCATGGATCAGCTGTAAAAACCTCTTTTTGTGGAGATTTGGGGACACCCCACTCCAATGAACAACAAATATCGGTGCTGGAACTCGGTCTCGCTGAGAATGGCTCGGGGGGAGAGAGTCCACGGCTCGAACGGACAGGCGACTCGGGAGACCTCTCTGGGAGTGTTGGTGTTGTTGTTGTTGTTGCTGTTGTTGTTGTTGGTAGAGACAAAAAGAGCTGCCCAACATAATTGTGACATGTTGCAAGCCAGGGATTTCAAAGGGACACTGTTAGGGACAGGGTCGAATGTTTGGAGAGATGTTAGTAGCTGGACTTCTTGTCGTTGTGGTACTCAAGTCTTGGTTGGTCTCTTTCTTGCTTTTTGATGTTTTTGGGGTTGTTTTTTTGGGGGGTCAAAAAACAACAACGGGGCTGCAGATTTTGTTTCTAGGGGGGTTGAGACAAGAACATCTTTTGAGGGGGGGTCCCCCAAAAAACAACGGGCTGCAGTTTTTGTCTCTAGGATGTGGTAGAGGTTCTAAGTAGAAGTTTTACAGAGGCTTAGCTGACCGGACTACCACTACTGCTGCTGCTACTACTACTACCACTACTACTACTACTACCACCACTACTACTATTACTACGACGACTACTACTACTACTACGACTACGACGACGACTACTACTACTACGACCACAGCAACAACGACTACTACTAGTACCAGTACACCACTAGTACTAGCACTAGTAGAAGCACTACCACTACTGGTAAAAGTACATGTTGGCTGGTTGTTTTCGGGTGGGGGGTCACAAAACACAACGACGGGTCTGCAGATTCTGTTTCCAACCCCTTGTAGAGACAAGGGAAACAAGATATGTTGTAACGGGGCTGCAGTTTTTGTTTGCATGCTGCTGCTGCTGCTGGTGTTGTTGTTGTTGTTGTCGTTGTTGTTGTTGTTGTTTTTATTATTGTACTAGGAACAAGAAACTATTAGGTGGAGGCCATCACAATTAGGTTGGAGGCCATCACTACTAGTCACACCAAGGTGAAGGAGTTTGGTCTGAGCAGTGAAGCAGTTGCGGGTGTAGCGCTCGGCCTCCACGGTTCTTCTGATGTGAGGAATCAGCTGAAGAGCTGCGTGAAGCTGCCCTGCCTGAGCAGTGTGTGTTTTTGTCGTGTTTCCCACGACCCGACCCAAAATGGAGGTCTCCAATGGAGAAGCGATCCGTATAAAGTTATGTGTTGTTTAGTTTGGTTTTGTTTTTTCTCCAGGTATTCCGTGGGTGTTTCGAAAGGTGTTTGTTGTTGGTGTTGTTTGTCCTTCATATCCAACACCCTCACAGAGGTAGTTTTGGACTCCAAAACCCGGCACCTCCCTTGCCAACAACAGAGTTGCCACAAGGTGGTTGAACCCAGGGTCCAGCAGTGAAGGGGTATATACATATCATGTGAAGTCCAAATCTGTATTTGGGTGATGATCCAGATACCCGCCTCTTCGTGCATGAAGAATGAACAGCGGGGGCTCTATCATTTTGAGAAGGACTCCTTCCACTGCGTTCTTGGTAGGGACTGGCCAGTGGTTGAAGATGGTTGAAGGGTTCATTTCTTCAGTGGAACCACACCACGAAGCTTTTGAAGTCGATGCCAGGACTTTGTGGAGCAACCGCCGTTCGACATGGAGAGCTCCTTGGAGGAATCGACTGCCATCACCCCCTTCTTCTTTGTGCTCTTCCCAGGCCAGACACCGCCATCGCCACCGGGGCGGGAAAACAAAACACGAAGCAGGTGTCCCTTCTTTGTTGCGTGGGTGAACCCATTGCGGAGAAGGGCCTTGTGAACGCCCCTATGCAGCGCTTATGCACTAGATAGCGCGGTAGAATGCGGTAGATACATGGGTGGGTTTAACTCTTTAACCTCTCTAACCAGAAGTCCTTGGCTGACTGAGTGGTTTTGCTGGGCCGCTGTGGCAAATCTCCATGTTCGTAGGCCTCTTGAGTTGGTACAAGGAGTCGATGATTTGAAGGCATGGATCGAAACAGTAAACAAACACAAAAACAACATAACATGCCTTATTATTCCACTTTGTGATTGACTTGTGGATCACAGGAAAGAACATACATCCAATTAACCACCATAAGATATAATAAGTATCACTGATCACTCACTGTCTTTTAGACTCCCCCCTCCTTCCACCAACCGGCCACCACTGGAACCGGGGAACAAGCCGCAGGCGTCGATCCTACTCCGACCATCGAGGCCCTGGGCCGCAAGCTCGGGAAGACTGAGGCCGAGGGTTTCTTCGCGCGCGCGCGTTGGCCTCGCGTGGAAAACGCGACGCGTTGGCCTCGCATTGGCGCCTCCAAGCGACTATGGCCCTCAGACACGACCCATGGGACTGCCATAGGACTGCCGCCCCAGAAAGACCCCCAAAGTAACCACCCCAATGTAATTCGGCATCTATGGCAGTCCCATTAGTCGTGTTTGGGATAGCTTCTTGGAGGCGCCCCGTTGGAGGCCAATACCCAGTAGTAACGGGGCGTCCCGTAGTAACTACTAGTCACTAGTCGTATACGGCCAAGGTTGGCGATCAAGAAGCAGAGAAAAGAACCACATAAGAGCTCAGATAATCACTCTTTCTCTCTCTCTCTCAATGTATATCATAAGTAAATCAAAGTTGATTGTTTCTTGAGAGTGGCTCATTTGCTAAGGTATCAGGATAAATATATATATATATATAGTTATATAATGTTATATATATAGCATATAATATATATATACACACTAGTCACATTAATATACTATACAATGGCAAACCACAGCTGTTTTGCTTCGTCGCTTCGGTTGGGTGCCCAACTCCTCCCCAACTCCATGGGTCTTTTTCTCTCGATACAAAAGGGTGTTCACAGTCGCACCATTTGCATGGGGATCACGTGAAATACCCTGCGGATATTTAGAGAACCAGTCACATAGTGGTGTTTTGTATTAAATTTATACCCTGGGGATCCAGGTATGCTCTCAGAATGAACCTGGGAAAACTGTGCCTCACAGCGGACTTGCAGCCAACTTTGGCTGATAATGGACTTGGGGGTCCAGGTCCTCTTGGAGACAAAGTTAGCTCGAACACATGCTTTTCCACATGCATGACTGCCAGGTAGCTCAGGTGAAACACATTTGCAGGCCAATATTTGGTCAGAAGAGTTTGCAATATGAGAAGTGATTGGAATCTAAACCATGTATCATCGATTGATCTACGTGGGGGCTACCACGTGCCATGGGCCTTCTCCGGGCTGCAGCTTTGAGAAGTGCCCTGTGCTGTGCCATGTGGTCGGTTCATGCTTCAAGTGATGCATATCTTGCATGTTCCATGGTTCGGGTTGGACCGCTGCCCTTCCAAAGAGGCTCAAAGCATCCAGCCTGAGCACGGACGGTAGCGTGACAAGTCTTGTTGTCGAGCATAAGGGTGAGGATGGGTCCAGGATCATCCAAGCTCCTATGAAGTTCAAGGTGTCGGTGACTAGACTGCAGATTTGGACATTGTAAACATGTTCATTGATCTGGCCCCTGTGGAAACCCAACCCTTAATACATGTACATGGAACCGCCTTGAGGTGAATGGCCAGCTTTGCTTCAATGGGATTCAAAGCTATGTGCAGGAATTCTTGCCGGACATCATGAACTGCGAGGCATTGAATGTACGTATAGAGTCTATGTCTGGAGATCCCATCATTTCACACCGTAATGATCCCACTGTGAGGCACAGTTTTCCCAGGTTCATTCTTGGAGCATATCTGGATCCTGTTATGTTGTCTATTCATGCATTAGGATTTTGATGCAAGCACCTGTCGTCGCCTGTCATGCTGCTAGGATCGGCCAATTAGCAATCGGCAAAGGGACCACAACAAACCAGGAGTCTTCTCCTCAGCATTCCCTGGTGCGCACTTCGTGTTGTGTACTTCAGGAACTTGTTGGTTGGACAGCCTGCCGGCTCAGGCCTATGACGATGACTTGTTGCGGAACTACCACCTGCTGTGCGAGTTCATGGTGGAGACCCGGGACATCCTGGGTACCTCAGGGATTCCATATGTGAAAGATATGGAAGTTTCTTGTCAGTAGGCTTAAGATGTTGCAACGCATTTGTGCATAAGCATGCACTCATCAGTTCAAAAACGCACACTCAACATTTAAGGCTGGATTGTTGCTATGTGCACTTTTGCACAACTGGCACAATGACAAGTACACAATCAGGGGTGGCAAAAAACAAATCCGGGAAACTTGACTAAGTCAGGGGGTGTTTTCGATGTCACGTTTTCGAATCTTTGGAACCAATATTATGAACCAATCCCTCACGCACCAGCCTGAGGATTGGGCAAATCTGGAAGCCAATCGGCTGCATGCAATGCTAAGCCATCTCCACTTCCTGGTTCGCAAGTCTTTGGCAAGCAGGCAATTGGGGTGATGTTGCATATCGAACCCAGGGCTCCTTTTGCTTATCTCATCTGTAGGAGGGAGAGGATCACTGTCCTGAAGACCTTGTATCATGGGTTCTCCAAGAACAAGGCGTGGGTTGGCACACTGTCAAAGTCTGATCCAAACAATTTGACTTGGGCGAACAATTTGCCACATTCGGCTAGGTTTCTGAAGATCTTTCGCAGGATCAGAATCAATGTGCGCAGGCCTGTACGTAAACTACTCTTTGCGCTCTTTGGAGGGGACAGTACTACATTTGGGCAGGTGGTGGCTTCCCCAATGGCACCACTTGTGGTGGACTTGGATGATGACCCCATCATTGCTCATGAGGCCCCTTGAATTTCCACTTGTTGCCAAAGTGTCTATTTTGTTACCATCTCTTTCACCAACGCAGGATCCAATAGTTATCAAGGCTGGCTTCTCAGCACGATGGTGGGCCAATTCAGTCTAATTGGAAACGACGCGACAAAAACATTGTGCTAGATACTGTGCATAAGCTTCTAAGGATGAGCCCGACGAAACAGAGAAGCCAACAGAGGAACTTGATGTTTTTTTGTGCACGTGCATTTATATCTTTCGTGCACCTCATATTATATACACCACTTCTGGCTGCAGGCCCAGCTGGCTGTGTGTGAGGCTTCTGGGACTGTCGCCGGCCAAGTTAGCCGGCCATTACCCACCGCATGGCCACATCTGCCCATCCTCCTGTCGCCTGAGGCCCGGCCTGAGCTGGAGGAATCCCAAGTGGAGCAGGCCTGTCACAGCAGCTTCCACTCATTGGGGGGAGTGTGCTGAACGGTGGAGGCTGTGGAGGCTATGGCGGCTATGGCTTTGGATAACGAGCTCAACAATGAGAGCCAGGAATGGCAACTATCAGTACCATGGGCCTTACTATGGGGACCTAGTGTGCTGTGTGGGGCAGGTTGTGGAAGAGTTCCCAGTCGTCCATGAGCATTCTCGAGTCAGTGCCTCAGAATGCAAATCTTAGGAGGGCAGGTCTGGTGCTGTGTGGCCCAGGCTGTGGAAGACATCATCCCTGAATCTCAAGTCAGTACCCAAGTATGCAGCTAGTGTCAGTAGGGCGGACGAATGTACTTCTTCAGGGGCCGGCTGTGGAAGAGATCATTTGCAGGCCTGAGGAGTCTCAAGTCAGTAACCAAGAATGCAAATGTCAGGGGGGGCAAACCAAAGACAGTCAAACCCAGGTCGAGAACCCTGATGCTGCACTTGTAACTGAAGTGCACCAAGAGGCTTGGATACAAAACCTTGTGTTCTTGCAATCACATCTTGGGCAGGTGGTCCCATTGAATGTCGATGACATGCAGGCTCACCTGACTTTACCAACTGGGCATGTGATTCAGAATTATGTTTGTGATCATGTGTGGCTTCATGCAACATTATTGGTTTCTCCAGACTATTCCATACGACCCTGAAGTTCAAGCTGCACTGATAGTTCAGCAGGCCGAATGAAGTAGCTCACTTTAAAGCATTTGCAAGTACTGCATACGCATACATGGCCAGGGCATGTCAACAGAAGAATTCGTACCCCTTCGTTTACGAGTACGGGCGTATTTTCAAAGATGGCCAGGTGCTCTTAAGGCTTGATATTTAGCACTAAGTGTTCACACGGAGCCGCCTCTTCACCCAGAAAGGCACGTGAAAAGGAAGAAGAGCTACGTGAGCGAGAAGAACAGGCTCATTAGATTACCTCAAGCTAGGCTCATGCAATAAATGGCTAATTCCATTTTTGTTGGAGGCAGTCGTCCATGATAGCCAAATGGTCGGTGGTGATGAGGCTTGGTTTCTATCGACCCAAATATGGCTCTTCCGGCTCCGGCCTGCAAGGCTGCCCAAGCTGTTCCACCTGCTGCTCCTGAATGTCGTGTAAGATCCGAGGCTGTCTATTGACGAGATTGTGCATATATGCGCATGGTACATGTGGAAGGTGGAAGTGCACAAAAAGATCGTTCGTATATGCCGGAGACTGTGCCAGGAGGCCCCACCTCCAAATGCTCAGGAGGAGGTGGACATGTGTAACCCACGTCATGTGAATGCACTGATCCTGAACCTTTTCCGTTCTGCTGACATCGCTCAATGCCAGATTCTGCCAGGCTAAGATTCCGGGTGAGAGCCTGAAAGGGGGTGGTGAGCAGGCGGGACTACCAGGGGGTGGTGAGCAGGCGGGACTACCACCCGAAAGATGAACATGATCGAGTTGCACCGCTGCATGAGCTTCATGCAACAATTCCGCTTCTTCTGATCGGTTCACTGAATAGCATATGTGCAGTGTAGGTGGCCATGGCCCCAATCGATGGCAGCACTGAGGAGCGATGTTTTTTTGTTTCTGTGCCATCAGCTCACCTGGACTTTGGAGGCGCCCAAGGAACCAACTGGTCCCAAAGCTAGTGATGAAGAGGCCATGGTGCCTCATGTTGTACTCACACCTGGCCTGTTAGTGCGTCGTTTGCTGTCCTGTGTAGGTTCAGGAAA